TCCCAAAGTGTATGAGGACTGCAGCTCCTTTTATTGAGAAAGTTACATAAGTACTGAGCAGTTGTTTTTTCATTACTCTTTGGGCAAAGTTCACACGATTCACATAATTGATGAGTAACAGACTTCATCCTTTGTGGACCACATTGTAAAACATTTCTAGGAGTACGTATATAGGATATTTCCTGTGCAAAGCAAGATCTCCTAAAAAGGAAGTTCTTGATGGACATTTCCTGTGCATCTTCAACAAAGGAGTACCTGTTCCTGAGAAGCAGATTATGATTTAACACACTTTGATTTAACACACTTTGGTAACTAACTATAAATTCTATTTACAGATCTAAAGTGGGCAGTTAGACCACGCTGACATCATGTACTGTATGTGTGGTGATGTGTGTGTATTTAAGCCAAACTTAAACATGTCACTTGATTGAACACTAGGAGCAGTTATCAAACCACAACCTTGGAACTGAAAGCTGTTTGTGTGTTCCTAAAACGTTAAAGAACCTGTCTTCCAGCAAACAAAATGAGAAACTATTACCGCTGATGCAATACACAAACACTCTTTAGCAATACCCAAAATGGAGTAGTTAAGAATGTGACAGGAACTTGACTCAGCTGCAGACACATACTCTATCCAGCTACTGTCTTTGTTGTTCATGAGTTTGTGACACGTGAAGGGCCTGTCACCACACAGTGATGTGTTTATTTCACTGCAGCTGGGGTAATCACTCACACCCAGACAGAAACACACAGAGACACACTAATATTGAGATACACAGAGAAACCACATAAGCACACACACCAGCGCACCAGTGCGGACTGGTTGTCAAAATGGCTATATAATTTATTTATAGCTCAAGGAAAATCTCTAGGAAGTTTGTACACTTCCCAAAAATGATTTTGATTTGATTTCTTGAATACATTTTACACACACACACAAACACACACACACCACGGCAGGATGTGTTTCATAGCCAACGCCTTACACAGTGACCTGCTGGTCCTCTTATGATCAGTTAAAGCTCCCCTCCTCCCCTCACTGGCTCCACTCTTTTCCAAATTTGGTCTTTTGTGGTTTAAAACCAACATGGAGCTGATCACATTACTAAAACACTTGGCTTAAAAACAGCAGCTGACAAAACAGCAGCTGACAAAACACCGGGTGACGTCACCTGGGGTCACCACTCCACTATCTCAATTGGTCTGTGTGACCTCGGCCAAGAGAAGTATAAACATTTGAATTGTTAAAGAAAGTAAACCTAATAATACAAATAGGTAGATGGGGAAAATTTAAATTAAACTAAAATGGAAGTGCAGTTTGTTATCAGTGGCTGCCTCTCTGTAGAAAATCCTCCAAATTCATTTGGGTCTATAACCTGTAAAAAGTGTTTGTTTGTAGAGTTAAGTCTTTGGTGTGTCATGTTGACACGTGATGCCAACTGAGCATCACTGTTGGCATATCACATATCAAAGGATCAGCCCTATCACATTACTGAACTTTACTACAGTCGTCAGCCACTAATATTAAAACATTTCAGAGAGGTCACCAGGCGGGATGGAAGCTCAATCAGAATGTTTAGTTAAAGTGTTTGTATGTTTTGTATGTATGTGTGTTAGTGACCTGTGTTAGCTACCTGCTAGAGAGAGAGAGGAGGAAGGAAAATCCCAAATTGAACTCATTGGAAAATGCAGCATCTGTGTTCTGGTAAGAACACTAACACACTGTGTTTGTGAGTTTGCCTTTGTGCATATAGATGCATTGCACTCAAACATTATGAAAATAGAATGCAGTGAAAAGGCTGATAAGGCAGAAGAAGCGATTAACGACCCAGGAGCCCTCATGTTGGTGTTTAAACAGATATCAAAGTCCAACCAATTTATTTGTCCCCTTCTACAAAATATTTTTTTTATTATTATTTTGAAGCAAAAAAGGTGTCTTTCTTAATTCACCATGATTCTCCCTTCCATCTGAATTTCTCTGTCCTCACAATCCTCTCCTGTTGACACCATAAAAGAAATATGCCAATATGCTTTACATGCTGATCCATCAGAGTGCCTTTCTCTCTCTGCCTCACTTCTGGGGAGCTGTGTACTTAGATTCAATAGAAAACAGTCAAACCTTTATAGGAGCAAAAAACAGATTTAGAGACACCTTATCTGGCGGCACGGTTTTCTTTAAGTGTCAAACTGCTTTTCTACATTTACTAACTAAACTGTGTACCATCCTGAAAGCCTCAGGATGTGAGGTATGAGGCAGACATAGACCATATGATCCCACAAACACAACAGAGACATCACTGATGCAAAGTATAGTATAAATAGCAAGTACACATGGCCATCATACCGCCATCACATGTTTCCTTCTACCTTTACTCTGGGTCAGCAGTCTATGCTAATGAAAAAAAAAAAACATTTTTGATTAATACTCAAGGTAAAAGGGTATTCCACTCATCATTTCCTGTAAAGTTTAGTTAGGGTAAAAATGTAGAATTCTAGAATTTTAAAATGGGACAGGAGAATAGACAAAATCTTCCCTTGTCACTGAGACTTGTTCATGAAACTTGTTCTGCATCCTAAATTGGCTCTCGGGGGACATTAGACCTGAGTTTAAACTGTGGAGCAGTGTTACCTCAATGCAGAGACGCTATTACGAACCTGTCAGTCAAAACAGGATTCAGACTTATTTTAACCAACGGAGGTTCAATGCTCTGAAAAGCTACACATATACGGTACATCTTAATACTATTTCTCTTTAAATAAATAGGCTTATTAAAACATTTTCATAAAAGTAATAAAAGTTAATATTCCTTCTTTTTGTAAGAAGTTAAAGTAGTTTCCCTTAAATAGTAACTTAAACACAACTTAAAACATAACTAAAAATATGGCAAATCAATGGATTCCTAATCGACTTCTTTCTTTCTTCTTCTTTCTTTCGGCTTTGTCCCTTTTTTCAGGGGTTGCCACGAATCGCGAATCATTGATTTCTATCTCTCCCTGTTCTCTGTATCTTCTACTCTGACTCCAACTATCTTCATGTCCTCCCTCACTGCATCCATATATCTCCTCTTTGGCTTTCCTCTCTTTCTCCTACCTGGTAGCTCCATCTCTAACATTCTTCTACCAATGTATGCACTGTCCCTCCTCTGCACATGTCCAAACCATCTCAATCTGGCTTCTCTAACTTTTCCTCCAAACCGTCCTGTCTGTGTTGTCCCTCTAATGACCTCATTCCTGATCCTGTCCATTCTTGTCACTCCTAAAGAGAATCTTAGCATCTTTAACTCTGCCACCTCCAGCTCCTCCTCCTGTTTTCTGCCAATTGCTACCATCTCTAAACCATACATCATGGCTGGTCTCACCACCGTCCTGTAAACCTTTCCCTTCACCTTAGCTGACACTCTTCTATCACAGATCACTCCTGACACTTTTCTCCAGCTGTTCCATCCTGCCTGTACTCTATTCTTCACCTCTCTTCCACAGTCTCCTCTGCTCTGAACAGTTGATTCTAAGTGCTTGCACTTTCACCACCTGTGCTCCTTGTAACCTCACTATTTCACTGTTCTCCCTTTCACTTACACATGTACTCTTCTGTCTTGCTGCGACTGACCTTAATTTCTCTTCTCTCTAGAGCAAACCTCCACCTCTCTAGGTTCTCTTCTAGTTGCTGCCTACTCTCACTACAGATCACAATGTCGTCTGTAAACAACATTGTCCATTGAGACTCCTGTCTGACCTCATCTGTCAATCTGTCCATCACCACAGCAAACAAGAATGGGCTCAGGGCCGATCCTTGATGTAGTCCCACCTCCACCTTGAAGTCTTCTGTCCTTCCAACAGCACACCTCACTACTGTTGTACTATTCTCATACATGTCCTGCACCAACATAACATACTTCTCTCCTCTCCTGACTTCCTCATACAAAACCACAATTCCCTTGGCACTGTGTCATATGCCTTTTCTAAATCTACAAATACACAATGTAGCTCCTTCTGACCTTCTCTGTACTTCTCCATCAGCATCCTCAAGGCAAATATTGCATCTGTGGTACTCTTCCTAGGCATGAAACCATACTGTTGTTCACAAATCTCCACTTCCTGCCTCAACCTAGCTTCCACTACTTTTTCCCAAATCTTCATTGTATGGCTCATCAACTTTATCGCTCTGTAGTTGTTACAACTCTGTACATCACCCTTCTTATGAATTGGCACCAGAACACTTTTCCTCCACTCATCAGGCATCTTGTCAGTCTCTAAAATTCTGTTAAATAACCCAGTCAGGAAATCTACCGCCACTTCTCCTAAACACTTCCATACTTCCACTGGTATGTCATCAGGTTCAACTGACTTTCGACTCTTCATCCTCTTCAGGGTTTTTCTAACGTCATCCTTTCTAACCTGATCTACCTTCTTCCTAATAGTCTCTGGTTCCTCATTTCTACTTTCCTTTCATTTTCCTCATTCAACAACTCAAAGTATTCCTTCCATCTTCTCAGCACACTTGTGGTTACGTTCCCCTCTCTGTCTTAATCAACCTCATCTGCTGCACATCCTTCCCAGCTTGATTTCTCTGTCTCGCCAATCTATACAACTCCTTTTCTCCTCCCTTTGTGTCCAAACTCCTCATATGCCTTTTGTTTGGCCTTGGCCACTCCCCTCTTCACCTCCCTTGTCCTCTCTTTGTACTCCAGTCGGTTCTCTCCTGTTCTGTCACTGTCCCATCTCTTCTTCGCTAATATCTTTCTCTGCACACTCTCCTGGATCTCATCATTCCACTACCAGGTCTCTTTGTCCTCCTTTCTCTGCCCAGAGGACATACCTAGCACCTTCCTACCTGTCTCCCTAATCACTGCAGCTGTTGTCTCCCAATCATCTGGGAATTCCTCAACACGGCTCAGAACTGCCCTTCCTTCCTTCCTGAAGTCTTCACAACATGTCTCTTTCCTTAGTAACCCTTACCATTTATCCGGGCTTGTAAAGGTTAATAATGACATTGAACGTACCTCAGCAGTGGGTATCCCTTCGGGAGGGCGACACTGTAACAGGACTTCCTGCTCCAGAGAAACTTCCTTTCCCAGAGGTTCCTGCTCAAAATTCTTTTTGAGGTCTGAAAATAAAAAATAAAACATGCGGTGTTATTGTCACTGAAGGAGTATTTATACTTCTAACTAAATAAATAATAATAAATCTAACTGCAATGTTTAAAAAGAATCAGAGTCATCTTTTAAGTAGCGATGGTTTGTGACACCAAGGTTAAGCCTCAACACCTCAGCTGCATCTTTTAAATGAGGGCAGAAAAACCTAAATACACAGCAGGTTCAAGCATCAAGTCAGTTATAGGTCACTGTCCACCTTGGTGCTGGAAAGGCTTGAGCCACCTCTGCCATTTACTTCTAGGAAAATCTTGTTATGAGTAACTAATGTTGCTGTTTTTCAACTTTTGTTAGATTCAAAAGTCAGCTTTTGTGTCACACAGTCCAAACACAGTTCTGTCAGGTCAAGCCAGGCACTTATTTTTATGCCACATCAGTTGGCTGCAAATCTGCCAAAAGAAAATTTCAAAACAAAACAACATCCCTATTAACACCTCAAATTGAACAAACAATGTCATATAAACTCTACACACTCTACAGTACAAAAATATTTACACAGTTTCCACAAAAAATTGTGATTAAAGAAAGTCAAGTGATTGTAAATAAGGGATATTTAAAAATATTAATTTAATAACATTAGCCAAAACTTTAAGGAGCACACCAACATTATTACTTCTAACTATCCAATTATTAAATTGCACTAGCTGAAAAAGTTTCTACAGGGCTACACTAATCCTAGCACTGTTTTACTTCTTACCATTAAATACCAGCAGCTAAAAAAGTTGTTTTTAAAGATGTAATATGTACAAAAATAAAGTTTGCACAAAGCTAGGACAGGCTATGTTAACTGTAGCTGGCCTTGTTTTTCTTCTTCCTACCTCACTTGCAGCTCACATCCTAGGAGTTGTATTATCGCCACCTACTGAATAAATGTATATGTTTTTCACATCTTGAGGTCGTCCTGATTACTTTCAACACTTTCTATCTATATTCAATGGGTTATTTTATACTGTATGCACTTATCAGCAACACTTAGCTGTATATTGATACAGTTAACTACTGCTCACATGGGGTAAATACGTACATACGTGCACACACACACACACGATTACAAGCCATTAAATACTTAAACACAGGCAACCTTTGTTTCACACATGGCTCTTAATCATTCTCCATGGGGTTCTAAGCCAGGCCAAAGCTGTAAATAATGATAGCATTACAAAGGAGCATGGAAAGCCCTGCCATTTCTTGCACTGATTGTTTGAAGCTTAACTGTTGTAATTTGGAGGAATAGAATGTTCCCAAAAGCAGACTGAAAAAAAAGAAAAGAAAATGCAGCAGACCTTTGAATGAAACAACACATGTCAGAAAGACAAAGCAGGAAGGGGTGTTAAAATCATGTGAATGGAAAAAAAGTCTCGTGGGCAGATGGTGGAGGAAGAGTTTTGTTTAACTTGAAGTTTTTCTTGTCTTGTTTTGACTATCATTTTTCTGCAGTGATTTTTTTTCCAGTTTTAAAAGAGACAGTCACTCTGTTTTCTTTAATGCAAATCTCTACTTTTCTGTTTGTCAGCTTAACCATGTTAGACAAAGTAAAATTATTACACCACACATCACTATGGTAATAAACCTAGTATTTTTTCTGCTAGTATCTGCCCTGCTGTTGGTCACTGTATTATTTGTGTATTACCACAATAACAGCTAAGCTCATTTTATAGCAGTGTCGAACTCAGTTCTTCGATTAATTAAATCTAAATTGTTGGCCAGACAGGGTTAACAGTCTATAGCTTACAATGCTACAATCAGAAATTGTATTTGGACAGAGTGCAGACTATCTACTGTAGACTTTGATTTTGAGCACTGGTGTTTCACAAAATGGCCCGCGGGCCTTGAGTTTGAGGTATGTATTTTAAAGGAATAAGTTCCGCCAGAGAAGGAAATACAATAAAACCAACAGCAGCCTAAGAGAAAAACAAGTGGGTCATTACTTTCAATGTGTTTTGATTTTTTAAAAGTTGATGATAATATAAACAGGGTAATTAATAGGGTACAGGTTCTTTTTAATTTATAATTCTAAGTCTGGAGGGTACAATCTATTTTCTCCTGGTCTGTTCTTCATTTTCATTACATCATAAAAAGGAATTGCAAAACTGCCTTTTGTATTAAATTAAACACAGAGACAGAGAATTAAAACAGTCTAGTGAGATTAAAAATGGAGAAAAAAAAAAGGTCTACCTCCACAGACTGGTCTCAACTGACAAACGCTGTATTTATTCACAGACACAATAGATGTTAATTCCTGGACGAATATGTGTTAATGGATTGCATAACATGTAGTTTTTGCTTTGGTTAAATGATAACTGTGTCAAAAATTAAAAATGTGAGCAAGATAAACTTAAGACATTGCAAAACTTTTTTTTTCACCTCGAACTTTTCGTTATGAAGGGAAATATTTGCTGTCCCCATCCTTCAATTTTTGACTCCATTCATAACATCTTTGTGGGAGGCCGTGTGTGTGGGCGTATGCATGCGTGTGTCCCTTTTATCCTTGCGTCCTTCTACTCCGCTGGTTCCCAGGTGTACTCTTAATCACCCTACCCGTCAGCTGTGATGCACTATTTATGGACACGTTGACAAAGACAGAAGACAGAACATTTTTTAAGACCGCTGAACAAGTCAACTCGGAGTAATTTTCGGAGTATCTTAGAGAGGTGAGTCACCCTGGAGTGGCTTAGTGAAAGAGACAAAGTTGACAGAATACAACTAAAATAGGAGAAGCTGACCGTAAAGATACAGCAAGTCAGATGTTGAAGAAGAATCAAACAGGAATTTTCCTGTTTGATTCTTGGTCAGGAGCACAGTTGTTTTTCTGCAGCGTGACTACATCAATTATTTTTCTGTCTCTGGCTTTTAAAATTGTTTTAATGTCAGTCGTACTTTTACAATAGAAACTAAAAGAACTTAATAATATTGTAGTTTCTACTTTGTTCAAAAGTTTTCATGTTAGGATAATTAGTCTGGTTTTTATTTTAAGTATTTTTAATTAGTCGTTTTTTTTATTATCCAGATTCCAATTTTATCAAAATATGTTTGAACAACACGTATAAGTTTAGGACAAATGGTCAAACGATTCATGTTCATACATCCCTTCTGTAGAGATCACATTTCAGTTTCAAATCTAGTTCAAATCTCTCTTGTTTAATTTTTTTAGCATAATTTTATTAACTACAAATATAACATTAAATAATAAAAATGCAAATGAACTAAACTTAGGGTCTTTGTAATATACCGTAAATTGACAGAAAAGCTCTTAGTCTGTCTGGGGAGTGAAAAGGTTTAATCAGTATGTGTACGGTAAACACTTACCCTCCTGAAAGATCATAAGCCTCTAGTGTCCACCTTTAATACAGCTAAGGGAGTTCCGGCCATGGCCGCTGCATGACTACAGCGGTGGGCCTTGTTCCTGAGTGCTCACACCTACAACATTGAGTATAAGGGCACACATCATCATGGGAATGCTGATGGGCTGTCCCGCTTGCCACTACAAACTGCACCACCAATAAACACAAAGGAAGCGGACCCTCTACCAGTCACCAGTGAGAAGATTGCACGAGAGACAAGCCGCAACCCTACCTTAGCCAGAGTCTATGATTTGACTCTGAATGTCTGGCCAAGCTAGGGTGACTCATCCTTAAGAGGTTATTGCAGTCATCGTGAGCAGCTCACAGAGCATCAAGGATGCATCTTGTGGGGGGCGAGGGTAATCATACTTCAGAGTTCTGACTGAGCTGCATGAGGGACACTTAGGCATGGTGAAAATGAAATGCCTCGCACGAAGCATAGTATGGTGGCCTGGGATCGATGAACAGCTGGAAGATGTGGCTAAGACATGCAATGGGTGTCAACAGACCCAAAAGTCTCCACCAACAGCCCCACTGCATATGTGGGAATGGCCTACAAAGCCTTGGCAATGTGTGCACATTGACTATGCTGGACCTTTCCTTGACCGCATGTACCTGGTCGTGGTTGATCACACTCAAAATGGCCTGAAGTTTTCTGCACAAAGACCGCAACCTCTGCAAAAACATTTGAACTGTTACGGGCCTTGTTCTCACATACAGGTCTTCCACATCAGATTGTGAGTAATAATGGAACACCTTTCACTTCTGAAATTCCAGCGCTTTGTTAGGAAGAAGGGTATGCAACACACCACCATTGTACCTTACCTGAAGGCCATAGATAAAGATTGTGTATCACTACACCAAAAGATTGCAAACTTTCTGCTGGCTTATTGCAGTACACAAGCTATAACAGGACAGACCCCCCCCCCCCCCCCCCCCCATGCTATTTCTAGGACGTCCCCTGAGGTCACGCTTAGATCTACTGAAACCCAATATACAGCAGCATTTACAGAGAAAGCAGTCTGACACTGTTCTCCATTCAAAATGCTTTCTTTGCGCACCTTCCATATTGGATAGCCAAGGACTACCACAACCAAGGACAAAAGTGGCAGAACCTAGTGTGGCGTACACATGTGGATAAACTGTTGGACTGATCTGGGTCAACATGCGTGGATTCCAATGCTACACCTTTCCCTGGTGGCTTTAAGTTCTGTGATGAAGCACAGGACACCGTCACAGGCTCTGTACCAGCCCCACCTGCTGCTCAAAGTCCTGCTGTCACCCCTTCATCTGTGAAGCGTTACCCAGGCAGGATTCGGAGACCTCCAGAATAACATTCAAAGACTGAGAATGTTCATGTTATGTTAAGATAGATTAAGATAGGTTTGAGTGTAGTTAGGACTTGGATAAACTTAGTTTAAATGGGGATACGGACGTTGGAAGGAAGGAGTGTTATGTAGGGGATATTGGGATCTATATTGTTTAATTTTATTGCACATTGATGAAGTAAAAGTGAACCACTGGTCATTGTGACACAGCTCACCACTGCACACAATGAAATGTGACCTCTGTTTTTAACCCATCACCAAAGTAAACAGTGGGCAGCTTTAAGT